CTCTGTGAAATCTTAGAAAAAAAACTATTTTCCTAAAAACATTTCTGTGCAATACACTGCATGAACATGTTGAATGAATCAGCTCATATGTGACACAAACAAAAAGCGGCAAGGTTTGTAATTTGGATCATTTGCTTAAAATTCTCTTATTTGCCAAAATGGCCCTGAATCCTAAATGGAGCCAGATTTTTTTTTCTTTTTTTTCTGCTTTTGACCTTATCTGTGCACCCAGCCAGTCATCCTTGACACCGAAATTGCCCCCTTACCAGCTACTCACACACTGCGCACGTAGCATCCTTCCTCCCACAGAGACGTATTTAGGTTCACGCTTAGTGACCAAAATGTTCCGCCTGAGCTAAAGGAGGAGAAAATAAACCAACATAAAGACAAAAAAACAAAACCCAAGCTTAGTCTTTCCACTTAGTTGACATAAATCCCTGCTGTGAAAAGCCAGGAGTTTTCTCACTAGTCTGTTTAACAGACAAGTTAAGCTGTCCTCTCTTAAAAGTCGCCGCAGGCAACAATGTGGCACATTAGTGTCAACAGAGGACCGTGTAATTATTCCACACAGGACAAATGTGTTCAGTCATATGCTTAGATAGCATCATTTGTTGCACACTTTTCCCTGCTCTTCAATTTTATGGTAAAATGAGTTGCAGTGTCTGCAGAGCATGCCTGATAACAGATCCAAAATGTCACTGTCCGATGATTCATGCCGTGCTGCTTTACCAAGAGGTTGTACATTAAGCTCAAACTTTTCATTGACAAGATTAAATGTCACATATTAATTCATGGCTCATAAATGCAGCCCTCCTGTCTCCTCTGTCTGCCAAAATGATGCAATATGAATATTCTGAAAAGTGTTCAGTGTTGTTTTTTTCCCCACAACCATGGAGTATAAAAGACATGCTTTATCTGACGTTCAATGACGTCAAACCAGGATGTTCGTCATCTTTTTTAACGTTAAAAATGTAAAAATAAAACACAACACAAATAAAAAAAAAATGTTTTGTATTGCATAAGCAAACTTCCCATGAAGAATATTTGAAAAATGCAGCATTTATGATCAGTACATGTATTCAGTGGGTTAAAAGATATTTAAAAAATACTTAACAAAATTATCGGTAAAATAGTTTTTGCTATCCTTGATAAAAATGTATAACTGAGTAATTTCTTTAAAGCTGCATTATGTAGCTTTTAGAAGGATCCTGATAATCTGTGAAATAATCAAGCTCCTCTGCCTCCTCCCTGTGGTCCTACTGCCATCTGCAGAAATACAAATCAGCCAATCAGAGCCAGGAAGAGTGTTTTAATGCTGTCAATCATGCTTGTGTTAATGTTGCAGCAGTGCTAATGGTGAAAAAAAACAACTTACTGTTACAGTAAACCATTTTTACTATACGGTGTAGATTTAGCAGGGTAAGAGTCATTTCTTTTTGCCGTTGGTTGGATGAGGACACACACTCATCTTACAGCTACACAGTAGTGACCAGGAGAGTAAAGAAGATTAAAAACTCCCTCAAAACTGTAAGAGGATTGCTGCAAAGATTGACATCTTGGGGTCATGACAACAATTCGTTGTTATCTACATGCTCAGCTGGTTGTCGAGGAGCCTTTCCCTGATAGGTTTCTCTGTCCTGCCATCGCAAACACAAACATGGAGTTTTCTAAACATTCAAGGTGAGTCTAACATGAGTAAAAGACAAAGTATGTAGAAAAACACCACCTGCCCACCATCAAAGTATGGTGGAGGATGTATGATGCTGTGCTCCTTGAAAACCTTGCTAACCTGCCTGAATGTTACCAGTAAGGCAAAAATGGGACAAATAGAATATAATAGGATAAAAATACAAAACAAATGGTTCACCAGTCTCAGAATGAACCTTCTTTCATGGTGTCCATCGTCTCCATCCTTTATTCGCCTGGGAAACATTTTGGGGGAGCTGAAGAGAAACAAGCATAACAAAGAAAAATCCACTAAAAGAGATTGTGAAAATAAGACTCATCAAAGAGAATTATTGTGAAAAGTCTACATATGCGCTGTCCATTTGGCAAATCTGTTAACAGCAGGGGTATCAGCCATAATGCCAAATTAAATGTTGGCTTTTTTATTTGGAATATGTCACTGTGAGATTATGCTACAACAACAAAAGATGAATTTTCTTCAAAGCTTTTTTTTTTTCTTTGCCAACAAAGCTTTCTGTGTATTTAAGTGGTCCAATTAGTCCATCACAAGCTCAGGCTCTTTTGTTGTGGATTTCATTTCTGTGAATAATCCTGGGAGGGGAATTCTTGAATATAGGACATATATGTTTCACAGGAATGCTGTTATGGCTAAGCATCAGAAAAGTGCTTTTTTTTTTTGTTTGTTTGTTTTTTTTTGTTTTTAACTGTATGAAATCCTTTGTAAAGGCTTGGATGTTACAGCAGCGTCCATGACCACTTTACAATCACAGGGATTTTATGTTACACCAGTCCAGCGCTGGATCACAGGGACACTTCTGTTTTTTTTTTTTTTGTTTCGATTTTTTAAACATTCAAAATAACAAAAATAACCTGCTGTGTGCAGCCACTTGTTTTTCTCCTCATCAGACTGACTCTGCTCCCTTCAGGTGCATGTCACAAGGCATTAGGAGCTAATTAAAAAAATCTCCACAATTAATTGCTGGAGACAAGGGTGGGGGGCTATTAAGCCTGACACCCTGTGAGCAATTAGATCGATGTTGTCATGTGCTGAAAGGAGACTTGGTCTTCACATTGTGAGGGGCCACCGTTCATCAAGGTCACATGGGATTGGTTAAAGGCTTTGTGATCTCCTGTGTGCATCCTATGATGCGCGCTGCCACTAAAGCGTGGACAAAACCGCCCCAGCAGGTGCAATTATAGGTTTTTTTAAGCATACGATGCTTGAGCACATTGTTTGACTTTTAAAACGGGTCGCCGTTTCGTCGCAAGAGTTACTTTTGTCATCATCTAATCGAGGATTTACCGTCATGCGTCAAGTTCTCAGTGACTTGATGATTTTATGCGTTTCAACAATATGGATTTACATTTGATACGGACAGCCGATATGCCTGCGAAGCACTCAGAAGCTGGCACAGACAGAATTGAGTACATTTATTGTGATTGTCTCTGCTGTGAATCAGTTGCTTTAAAAGGCACCTTTTAAAATGTCAATCGTGTTCACGCTATGCAGGTTGCAACGCGCACCACAGACATCTGTGTCGTACATTCGTTATGGAGCTTAAGGCATTTATGTAAATATTACAAAAATAATGTTTGTATGTCTGCTGCTGAATTTTAAGCCAAAAACACAAAACAGTGTAAAGACATCCAAAGTTTAGATAAACTAGAGAATCTCACACACTGAACATTGAAGGAAAAAAACAAAAACACAGTTTGTAAAATAATTGCTGTTTTTGTGTGTGCTTTCAGTCTTCTCATAGGAAAGCAGTGAACAATGACGGACAGAAATAAGATACCATTCCCTTGTTTAATTATAAATGAGGCACTATCTTGTATACAACGGCAAAAGTTTAGCAAGAAACTTATTTTGCTTACTTTGCGAAAAACCGAGTTACGTTACAACATCCACCAAATGTTCTGAGTTCTTTTTAAAGAGATCCCGGTAACATTTAGCCAGATCTCACAACTGTTTTCTTGTTTTCTAGTGTCTAATTGCAGATCATCTCCACAGGAGAATTACATAATCTGTAAAACAGGTGAAATCCGTTTCGATACAGTCGCTTCAACCAAGAAGAATGAACTTAAAAATATATCCTGACATGTAATTGGTGCACAGTGTAATTATTGAGCAAGTGTTGTTTTGCTCAAATTTATCCACATTTATTCTAGTGTGAGACAATAGCCAACTTTCAGATTACATAAATTGTATTGGGTTTAGATTTTAAATGTCTCTCAAATTATAATAATTACAAAGAAAAACAAGAAACTCAGAGAATTTCATCGTTGGAGATGGGGTGTTTCCTGTTGCGGAGGTGAAGGTCGCGTGTTCTCAGAGAAGCTTCCTAGAGGGATCTCGAATAAATAATTCACTTTTCTTTTCCCTTCTTAGTGTACCTTGCAGAGCATGACTGTTCAGTTCATAGAAGATTGAAAGTACACTTATAAAAAACAACAAAAATAACAAAACTGGGCTGTGTGGACATCCAACAGTGACAACCAGAAACAAGTAAGATATCCTCCCATCTCCCTCTGGAGAGGATATGAATATTTCCTCAGCTGTCACACTGTTCTTCATTGCTTTTTCATTTCAGCAAAAATCTCTCCTTTCTGGTTTACGCTTCAAGGTTAAAAACTCCAGCGATACATATTCAACTGAATATTCTAATTATTTCAGCTCAGTGTGTGATGTGCCAGTGATCCAAGGCAGTGAGGAGTTTTACATTATGCATCTTTCTCTTGATTTACGATGAGATGCATGGTTATTAATCATCTTGTAGGTACGTCCGAAAATCCCTCATGTTCAGAAAAACTGACGCCAATCTTGTCTCCCATCTCCACCCACCCAAACACACACACGCACACACAAACACGCACACACTCAGTGCCCCTCACTGGTTTAATGATAGCATTCTTCAAGCCTTTTGACCTCCGTTTACCGCCCCTCAATTTATTCCGACTTGCTTAGTATACTGCGGGTCATTTCCCAGAGCAATTTAACTGGGGGTTAAAAATTGATTTTCCTTAAACAGTAATGAAAGAATTTACATTATTCATCCACTTTAAGATTAAAATGAGTATATCAAATTCGACACTCTTTTAAACTGCGCTTTAAGAAACATTTACTCCTTTGGTCAAACAAAGCAAAAATCCGTGCAAATTGCTGCAACTTTGTCTTTGTGACATTAAGCTTTTATGCTGCTAAAATATTCCAGAACCGAATCTCTTTGGTTTGATCCTTTAGCCAGAAAGGCCAGTCTAATTTGCAGCGGAAATTAAAACCACTCTCCGTCTCGTTTGAATTCTGAGTGCCTTACCTGCAGTTTGATAGTCATAAGCTGTGACTGATAGTTCCTCGGGGTTTTCTTTTCTCAACAGCTTCCCATTTGATTCATGAACAGTCCACCACCCCGAGGACATCTGGCCACTGAGTGCTGAGCAAAATGGCTCATTAGTGGAAGACGGAAATACACACAGAGAAAGCGGCTAGTTAGTCAACTGACAGTCCAGCACATTAGAAGCAAAAGATCCATGAAAGCAAACACAAGTCATTACGCTTTGACGTGCACATGGGAGGAAAACCAACAACTTGACTAACTCATTCCTCCGACTGTAAACACAAGATGGTACGAGACACAAAATGCCTGACAGAGGAGTTTGTCATCAACACTTAGTCACACCGGGAAGTGTTGATGTTTTCGCTAGAAATTAGTATTTAAACTTTTTTTAAAATTATTATTATGTAAAAGGCCAAAAGAAATAAACTGGCAGAATTTGGGCAGGATCATTTCAATGTACATAAGTAGTTTCTGTATGAGAGCAAAGAAATCAAAAAAGCATAAAGAAAATCTTTTAAATTAAGCTATAGACCGTTGTTTCACCGTAGAGAGCAAGGTTTTAAAATAAAGAAAGTTGTATTTGTTAGTGGTCGTCTTCAAAGTGCCGACCACAGAGGCTCTGCAGACACAGCCTCGGTTGAACAGCGATGGATTTTATTTCGAATTGCAGCCTCCTGTATCGCAACAACCAAATCATGAGGAATGAGAGCAGGATCAATAAAGAAATCCTACAGGACTCAAAGACCTCAGGCCACACACACACACACACACACACACACACACACACACACACACATACATCCTGACTGCTGGGCTCTATTCTTGTACCATCTTCCTTCAGCCCTGGTGTCTCGACCTTTGTCCCTGCCCGTGTCTCTGGAGTCCATACATCAGTCACTCCCATATGAAAGACCCAAGCGGCTCTGGTATTCTCAGACATTACATGTTTTCCTTTTCCACTGTTGAAAACCCCTTCATAAAAGCTGCCACAAACTGTGACAAAGTGACCAGAGTGTTTTTCTGCTTCTGCTGGTCGAGGGATGGCTACTTCACTTTTCTCCTTAGAAACAAAAATAATAATAATAATGTTTGTAAATATCTACAAAAACACTGACAGGCCATCATCATGCTAATCATTATTCTTATTAAAGAAAAGTTGTTTTAAAATTACAATTCATAACCTAAAAATGGACTGAGTAGTCAACAGCAGGGCTAACAACAATTTTGCATAGTAAGCACCTGAAAACCACTACAAACGTTTTAGCAAGGGTGACACCTATATTTCTGCTGAAGTTTATGTATCGAACAATAATAAATAAATGCTATAGGTAACATTTATGTATTGTTGTTTTATCCAAGCAATAGAAAATATGGTTAAAACTAGTGAACAAGCTTAAACTCTGGGCTTAGCGACTCAGACCTAGAGACACATTAGGACAATTACAATGTTGGTCTTCCATCCCTTGGATTGAAGGGCTAATGTCCCGGCAAGATCTAGAGAAACTCATCTGTGTGTTTACTTTTAGTTGCATTGATTACTCAAGTCAATCAGTCTTGCTGCAGATGATCCAGAACGCTGCTGCTCGGATTCTCAGGGAAATTAGGAAAGTAGAGTTCTAGTTCCATGTAGCTTAGAGAATACACACTAAACAGACATGAAATACTTCTGTTGGCACAAAAGCACATCAGAAACTATTACTTTTATGGTGTAAAGCAACCGCCAACAAATAAACTTGACTTAAAATACGATTAAAAATTATAATCAATTTTATATTATTTCATAAGTCAATAATAACTGTTTACATTTAAGTAGAAACAATAATTTTTTTTTGTAAATGAGAACAGCAGTCATCGCGCCTTGGGGATCATCTACCGCAGGGGTCCCCAAACTACGGCCCGCGGTAGATGATCATCTACTGAGGGTTCAGGGGGCCGGTTGGTCCAGCCCCCTGAACAATACCAGAGCATTCAGATTTTTTTTTTTCATTTATTGTATTTTCCGGTTTATATGTGGATTTTTCTTCAACCACCAGGTGGCTCTTTAGCAGGAACTGTGGGTGTTTGGATTTTTCTTCAACCACCAGGGGGCTCTTTTGCAGGAAGTGTGTCCTGTAAACTGTAGAATGCGCCATCTGTTGGACTTTTAGGGAACTGCTTGACTTATGTTATTTAATCAGTACGGTTGCTAGCGGTAGAGCAGATGAACACACGCGTCTGTTATGAAGCCGCATTCCAGGTTGAATTATGAAGCCGCATTCCAGGTTGAATTCTTCGAAGCAATGCCTGTAAGTAGCAACTTATACTTGTAAACGAGCCTTTATGTTAACATACGAGAAATTAATATATTGTAGTTATATTCCCTCAATGGAATATATACTAGTCAGTCCCAGTGACCGTTTCACTCATGGTTTTTGCCCATGCCCCCCCCCAAAAAAAATTTCCAGCCCCACCAGCGAAGGGAAAAGTTATGTGGCCCTCACAGGAAAAAGTTTGGGGACCACTGATCTACCGGCTCTGGCCATGCAACCATGTAGATCGCTTCGATGGACAGGCCGGTATAATCGACTTACTGCGTCATCCTGCTCAGTCACCAAATCTGAATGAAGCATTTGTAAGGATGACATGGTACTGAAACTGCGGCATGAACCCGTCACCGGGCACCAGAGGAGCCCCTCGGAGGATTCCCCGACACAGAAACTGGAGTGCTAATGAAGTAGAGCGACGTTCGGGGGAACAAACACGGGTCAAGTCCGTGTTGTATTACAATGAGTTGTACACTCACGGTGAGAAAACACCCTGAGCTTTCCGATATCTCCACCTGCCACCAGCTAACCTCGCACCATCATCCCGTTGGCCGAATCTGCTCGGTGAAGCTTCAGAGTCATTTCAATTGGAAATCCTTCTGGCAAATATTAGTAATGCGCACACAAATCCCAGGCTTAGACATTAAAGCATGTGCTTAACCTGAGCCTCAAATCAAACCAGTTCCTACCATTCAGGTGTTTGACTGCTCTGCTGTTTTTCAGGTTTTTTTTCCCCCTCTTGTATTTCTATCATGCTCTCTTGCAGCCTGTCTCCACTATGATTACCACAATTTGCTTCATCTCATCTCAAGACATATTATCCCGACAAACTATGAGCGATATGACGATAATACTTTTGTGGGACAAATCAATCTATTTTCATCCAGTGTGTCAAAGCTAACTATTTTCTCTCTCTTCCATGTTTTATGACTCAAATTATTTTGAACATATTGCATTCTGAGCACCTTCTGAATGTAATGGCTTCTTTAACATATGCGAGTGCACATATCAACGTGCGTGGAAAATTGTTTCATTTGTGGACAAAATCCTCAAGTTCAATGCATGAACTGAAATGTTAGCATCACAAATGCTGAAAAATTACATATCTATGTTGTTTGGAAAAAGAATGGTGCAAGTATTGCAGTTTGCAAGATAAAGTAGATCAAAAAGTCATTTCATATTTGTTTTTCTGTATATTTCATAGATTTGTATGCATGAAGTAGATCAACCCAAAAATCCCATCACCTTGGAAACCAGGACAAGTTTGATTAACAAACAACCTTTTGTCTGGTGCCTGCATAAAAACACATTTCTCTTTTCTTTTAACAGATTGCACTGAATTTCAGCCACTGCCAGTATAAACAACATAAAATGTGCAAATTGAATTGGTACTCTTTAAATATCACATCTTAGTAAACTCTACAACCCTTTGGGGTGGTAAAACAAATTACAAACAGCCTTTGTGCTGTTTTTAAAAAGCTTTTAAGTATTTTTTAAAAGGGATTTATTTCTTTCCCCCCCATAATTATAGCCCTTAGAAGCAGGCCATTAAAACAGGAACTGGACAGTATGGATTGTGTTTCACAGACTAATCCATTGCATAAAACAGCAGAACATAAGTAATAAAACCTCTAAACAGAAACTGAATTGCTTTGTTGACTAAAATGGACAATCCCAAATGGATGCAAGATCACTTATGGCAACACAGAAAACAGGATTGGTCCAGGCTTCTGATTTTTCTCCAAAAATCCTGCAAACAAACAAAAGGTGAGTGAGAGTCGTGAAAGAGAAGTAGGCAGTTTTGTTTCCCCCACCCACCCAACACTGTGTTCTCTGTTATAACACTGAGCAGAATCTTAACTTCAAGGGGAGCAAAGAGTTAGTCTAATGTTTTTATTATCTGAACCATCAAGGAGATTGCAGGTGTTGATTGTGAGGAAGCTGGTGCGTAGGCACATCCTGGCAACACAACAAAAGAATTAAGTGAGCACCTGCACTCTTCAGATATCCTCAGTGCAGAAAAAGTTGAATTATGTCGTTTAAAACGCTGAATGGAAAGCCAACACTGTTGATGCCTCGGCAGCCACAAAGAATCCCGTTGTTTGCGACCACCAAATTTTAAATGCGCGGAAATGTGCTTCAGGGTGGCTTCTCCTCCTTCTGCGACGTCTGGCAGAACAAAATGTTGGATGGAGGTCATGGATTGTGTTAGAAAACTAAATCAATAACTGCTCTCTCCAAAATATTCCCCCCCTGCATGTTTACCCACAGTAATTAGCCGAGCAGTGACTCGCTTTTTTCTCAGGTTCTGAGTCGATGAATGAGGATGTTTGACTGTAGCAGCCGTCTGATTTTCTTATTGGTATCTTGATTTCCCTTTCAAGCGGAAAACGGCCTTTGCGTGAAGCAACTTTTTAGGGCCAAATGACATGTTTTGAGAAAGCCAACTGTAAACCTTCGGTTTTTGAGTGGTGTGGGGAAAGATGTGGATTAATGTTTTGGCATCTGCGTCACTGTAGTGTAGCTAAAGATGCGTGAGTAAAAACATGAAGAGAATATGAGTGGAAAAGTGAGGCTTTCAGCTTCTTCCACCTACTAGCCCATTTTTGTTCCAACTTGACATATTCTGGGGAAACAGTTGTTGGAAGAAAAGGGATTGCTAACTTATTACTCATCAGAAAAAACTGTTGACCCAAATGATATCAAAATATATATTTTTTTCTCCAAACTACTTACTTTTTAGACAAAAGCCTCTCCTCACTGAAGAATTCCTGTATGATAAATACTTTGTTGAGCTAAAATGGCTGAGCTACAGACTTTGCCACACGTGGACATTTCATTATTATTGCTGTTTAATTTAATGGCTGGTATTTTTTATATACTGTGACGCTGTCTGACAGATTGTTTTTATTTTTTTTTCACTTTTGTACATATTAACTACTGCTAAATGCAACTGTGGGTGGCGGGTCTGTTGGTGCAGGGCTGTGGACTAAAGCAAAATAAAAAAAAGAAAAAAAAAAGAAAAGTAGTTTCCAAAATTTTGAGAAGAGCATGCAAGAATAATGAGGGCAAGTCTGGTCCATATTGGCCAAAAGGTTTGGAAACCAAACCTTGGAACATAAAATATGGTGCCAAATGGCCACAGTCCATTCACAAATACGAATAAAAACACCACAACTGAATTATTTCATGTTTTATATATAAATTAACGATTTATACATTGCTGATAAAGAAAAAATACAAAATCTTTTTGATCTTACATGACATTTACATGTGAAATTTTACACAACATATTCAATAACTTACAAATGCTTTATCTGCATAAAAAATAGATCTCTTTACGAAAGTTTGGTAATATGTACATATTCACACACACAGGTTCTTGGATGAGATAACAATTGTGTGGCACATTTAAAAGCATTCTACATTTGGAGTCCCCCGGATACAAGACTCGCTGTATACTGCGAGTACCAGATGTGTTTCTTCGCTCATCCATAGGAAAAGTGAACTCTCAAAATATATTACATATTGATAACACAAGACGTCGCCAAAGAGTGCCATCAAGTTATCAAAACTGTATAAATGTACAAAATGGAATAGCAATGATAGGAGTCAATATAGTGGTATAAAGTACTGTAGCAGCAGTTGCTATACAGGATCACTTTTTGCCAACATGCACAGTTATGAAACTATGAGCTGCATTCAGCCTTCTTTACTTAAACCCATCTGACATCACTCCACTAAATCATTGCAAACTGTGCAGATAGATGACATGAGTGTGCAGCTTTACTAAACTAAGTGTTGTGGTTTTCCTTCGAAATTTATGCCTATACAGTATTCAAGGCACTGCAATGATGTAGAAATGTGATGACGGTGTTAAATTCATTTTTCTTTTTTTTCTTTAAAAAAAAAACAAAACTGTTGAGTGACGGTGGCTCATGTCGAAGTGTGCAAATTCGTTCACGTGTACTGTACATTTGTTGGCAGAAGCTGATGGCCGTGTAAGCCACTGAAATGATGACTCGTGTCAGGAAAAGGGTTAACAAAATGAGCCGAGGCTGTATATTCACAGAGCGTCTTAGAGTAGGAGTACGGTTCAAGAATTTTCTGTCTAAGGCACAGTTTCCCAAAGAAAACGAGGCTAGTTTGGGAAAACCAGAGATGAGTTAGTGGGTGCACTTATTCTGTCTTTCAGCTACTCTAAAATAAGGCAAAAGAAATTTGTCAAGAGCAATAAACAAGATAACGAGCTTCATCTCACCTCAAACGGCCTGCTGATGCACTTTTTCATTCATGTGACGACATCTAAAGTTACAGAAAGTAAAGCTCTGGGCTAACCTGGCCGGATGTAGGGTCTGTGCACACAAGAGATTCAAGACCTTGCTATTAAAAACCAAAAGCAAAACGCTTGTAAAGGACAAGCAAGGAACTCCTACTTTGAGATTCATGTGATATACAGGCTCAAGCCCGGGGTTTATCCACTCTAGTTCATTTGGAACACAGGAAGTTTACGAGCAAAGACACAAAATCAGAAAATGCATGACTAACATACAGGAATGAATAAATTGCCCCCACTATTCTATTAGGGTAGTCAGCAATTTCAAACGGTCATGGTTAAATTATTTCTGACAAATTAATTGCACCCAAGTTGATCGTAAACCTAATGCAGACTATGCCACTGGTGGGGGAGATGCATTCTGCTGTTTTCAGAGAAGCTGCACTGTAACAATAAAAGCCCTAGCATTCCCAGTGGCACTCAAAAATTGTACTGCACTTCTGTAGTTAAATCCCTGGCCATATATTTCATCAGTAAGAGGTACCATCCAATTAAGAGGCATAATTGACCGTATAACTTTGAGCAGACTACAGCACTGACAATTCAATGGGAGACGGTTACTTTTCTGCAGCGGCAGCTCCTCTAACACGCCAGCCGTTTGTAAAATGGAAAATAGATTACACTGATCAACTCACAGTTGAGAGTCTCCTATTCCCCCGTGTTTAAAAATAATCTCCATTAGGACTAAGGGGGAAGGCAGAAAAAAAAAGAAGGTAGATCTAGGTTATCTCTTTAAAAAACAAGTGTTTATTTGGTATTGTGAAATAACGGCTCTATATTTATACAACTGAGCAGAAAATACTTGCTTTATCTTTATGCCAGAAGCTCTTTTATTCAAGGAGTCAACACTCACAGAGTGCAAAAAGACAAGATCTGAAAAGGTAGGAAACCTACTGCTCTTCCTTCTTATGAATGCCATCAGCTACTTTAATTGCAGCTGAAACTGTGCTTTATGCAACTGAGCAATTTTCTTGCTTTTGCTGCGTGCCAACCGAAAACGGAGAAAAAGCGTCTTCTGTGTATACTGTTCAATGAAGAAGAAGAAGAAAAACAAAAACAATTCTAGGATTAATTCTCCTCCCATCTCTATGTGTTAGCAGACATCAAACCATGGTGCAGATGGTGTTGAGATTGGGATCGAAGCGGACGACTTTCCCCTCCGCAGCTTTCGTGTTTGTGTTGTACATGGGGTTCTCAAATGTGGCTTGTCCGTTATTGTTCTCGTGGACGGAGCATCCCGTGTACTGAGCTTTATCCGTTTTCCTGTGGAACGAAAAACAAAACAAAAAAAAAGAGGTTGCACGTTAGCAGAAAGACAGACCTCCACTTTCCCCTCACATGCTTCTATTATCTTGGCGTGGACAGCTGCTAAAGGTAAATGAGGTTGTGAGGTAATTGCCGGTGAGAAGAGCAGCCCGAGAAGCCCCTGTGCCGTCTCGGTGGTGGAGGACATATTTTGAGCGAAATTTGCATGTCACAGACTCTGCATGTGTGAACTGTTCAGAGAACTAATGGCTACAAATAAGACAAAATGTCTCCCTGCGCACGCAGCACATGAACCTTCAGCAAAATACATACAGCACTAAAGCGTTACTCATTAAAATGCGCTGTGTGCCGCTGTGTAATTCCATTCAGATGGTAATGCATTGACTAACGTTGCATCATGCTTTGAAGTCTCTCATGAGTGTGAGACTGTTTCAGCGTGGAGCCCCACTGCAGAACCGCAGGCTGTGTGCGCTGGCCTCAGTGCATCGCCTATATTATTCTAATGCATGTTTTTCCTTTAGCTGAACGCTGAACTCAAGGATCGTGACCATTTATTATGCCATATTTTTACACCTTTCCAGATTCAAATTTCATATATTTACAGTCCTTCTTAGACAAATTTAAATTTATAATCGTAAGTCAGGTTTTATAGACAGAACGTAAAGGAAGGAGGGTGAATTTATGGTTGAATAAATCACTCTATGGATGGAAAAACGACTTAGTTGAACAGACTGATGGATGAATAAATAGGTGAACAAACAGATATTGGGCTCAATGGATGGACAGATTGATGGATGGATGAATAGGGGTAAATAAAAATGGAAATAAAAATATTTTTCATTACTATATTTTTCCATACTTATTTAAATTCAGTCCAATTCATATTTATAATATTTATTATTAACTAAGCTTACTGTACTGTTTGATAACTACTTTGTACTAATTAGAAATGATGTAAGATTGCGCTGAAATGATTTTTCAAAGTGACTTGAGATGACATTTGCTATTGTTGAACTGAAGCTTTATATTTCCAAATTTTTCCAGATCCTAAATGAACCATGTTATCATCTCTAAAAAGAAAAACTTGATTTGTGGAAACCAGTTAAAAAGTTCAACTAAAGCAAATTCGTATTCCGCATTTCCCCAGAAGCGTCGCCTACCTCTGCTTGTAAAGATAAAAGCCGAGGCCCGCGAAGATGAGAGCAAAGAAAGGCACGAGGATAGCGACTGCAACAGAACTGCTGTTGGTGGAGCCGTTGGTCTCAGGGTCCGCAAGCGTGACGTTCTCTCTCAGGGTCAAACCTACGAAAAGACAAACATTTTAAACCCAGTCATCAGTGTGCAACACATTTAATGACACCATAAAGTGCAAACAGTGAAATTACGGCGATGAAAGAAGAATACATATCTGGTCGGGATGATGACAACGACGGTGATGAAGATGAGGATCATCATGCAGACAAGACTCAGCAGCCGTTTGATAAAAAAAAAAAATGCCAGCCGTACTGATCACACTGATAATCATCGCTGTGACTGTGATAATCGAGTTGAGAACAATCATGTGATAATGACAGCAGAGATGATGAGCACAAAGGAATGAAGCACAATGATGCTGAAGGGGATAATCTCCTGTCTGTTGCATGAATGTGGCTAAATGAGACATGGCTGACAGCAGTTATTGGGAACAAAAAAGCAGCAAATGTTCCCACTGTGGCACAACATTATTAAACCCAACCACGTCCAGAGACTTTGTAGGTAAATCTGACTCAGTGAAAAGCATGTGCTGTAATTTCCAATCATTCTATCTTTTTTTTTTTGCTTTAGTTATTGAGTACCAAGTCATCATGCAGTAAACAATTGGTTATTAAAAAATGACCAACAGACAGCAACCACGTTTTAGTCTGTTATGTTATCAACAAATCCATTTATTATTATTTGCACATTCCCTGCTAAAATCATTCTGGAGAGTCGCAAAGGACCGAGTCTGTTAAGTAATTGCGTTATGCCGGCTTGTTTAATTTAGGAGATTTCCAATGAGCAGATGTTCCAGCAAATTGTCAAAAAAAAAAAAAAAAAATTGTGATACTGGTGTAAAACAACGACTTGTGCTCCAGAGCGGCGTCAACACTCGAGGCCGGTAGCATCTAACTTGCCAACAAAACCATCTGGCTTGCATCTGACAACTAGCTAAGCTGAATTAATTTGTCTTTGCCACTCAAACGCATGTTTTTGCTAGATGTCTGATTTTACGTCACAACTCATTCGAATTGCCCCAGGAAAATGGTCTGCTTTCTTAAGAGCAAAGGTGAAATCCGGGGTAGCAGATGTTAGTGGGTTATGCGCGCACTCAGGATCGGAGTCATGCTCGCGTGTGTTGTGAGGACAAGTTGACAAGTGCTTTGGTTGTTAAGAGACTGCATCAGCCCCGGGGAGCCGAGATACTAGAGCAATGTCTGAGCAAAAGATCACTGATATCGAGGAGAAGAATCGGGACATCCAGCTCCACAAGGGAGTACAAGGTTTTAGGAATGATTGTTTTTTGGGAAACTAAGAATCCATTTTGATTTTATTTTATAACACAGAGTAACAGTTTCACAAATCAGACTAAAACCACACAGTTTTAGTTTAACTTTAGCTTTTCTTTTCTTCATAAAATGGCAACATTATTATTGTTTATTCATAAATACATTTAAACACTAATAGCTACTTTGCAAATATTTTACAGCAAAGATGCCATAAATATCTGAGCTAAAATCTCAACAATAGCAGATTAAAATCTCAAAATTTCCAGCAAAGTAGATTGGTGAACATGGAGACTGAATGGCTAGCAGAGTGAGCTTACTGGCCAAGGAGTCACACTAATGTCTTAGGACACTATTTTCGATATGAGGGGTGCGGCCTCCAGAGGTTGCTAGGTGTGGGGGGCTCCTAACAGCTGAAGGGAAGATAAGAAAAAGAATGCCAAAGAAAAAAAAATCTAATCAATTTCCAATCACAATTCTTATCATAAAATCTAATCTGCTTTTCAATCATCAATCAATCAAGCTGCCAGTTAAATTTATTGAGCTGCTTTGCACAGGAAGTGCAGAAATGGAAAGGTTTTTGACAAGAAAAAACCCCAAAGGAACCATCCAGCAGTGGCTACAAACACTCCAAGAACTAATGGCCAACTAAAATCAAATCAATCTATGCTAAATGAATGTAATAATTCTTAAATAAAGAAGTGAGAGAAAACATTAAAAACACTGATGTTTCTTCACATACTTTGTAGCATTGCCTGTAGATTTGCAAACAGGTTCCCTGCCCAGAAGCATACGCTGTTTGGATATGTTTCTAGGCATACAGCATGCTGTTAGGGACAAGGGACATGGAGAAGTGACCCCTATCTAAGGTCACTTCTCGTGTTATTAAGAGTAAACCAATATACACTGCTCACAATATGACACCAAGCAACAAACTCACACAGAGTGTCCAGAATGAAGCTTAAACTTCCACATGAGGAAATAATAAACAAAACTGACTTTCGGATTAAAATGTAATTCCTTCTCTTTCTTCTGCCACATGAGTATGAGTGACAGATGGCGGCGGGAGTTTGGGGTATTTTTCGGAGTTGCTTACCAAGTCGTTGTAGTCCAAACTGTCCGTAGTCTTTACCCTGTATGAAACCCTGAAACACGTAGCTGCCACCCTCAGGCTCAGCCGAAACCTACCAGGGAAACGCAGTGCAACACTGAGAAAAGCAGTATGTACATTTGGAGTGTGCTTCAGCAAGGCACTTGAAAAAGTGTGAAGTATATTCCACGCCTTATCAAAGACCACAGACATACTGTATTAGGTATGATAGTCCACACATTTTGTTGCTCTAAAATGTGAAATAACACCTTTGTTATTTTTTAAATTGCATTCCACAATAGGAGTTGTGCAGCATACCATCAATAGCTCAGTGTGGTGCGCAGTTGCCTGTCAAAAGGTTTTATTTGTTGGACCTTGAAGTTTATTATTGTAGAAAAAAAACAAAAACAAAAAAACAGCTCTGACTAGAATTGTCATGCAGCTGTTGCAGGCCTGTCAGATGTCAACTTTATGCCTGACACTTATTCAGCAACAGAGAACAAAAAACAGATTCATAAGCAGCTAGCGATGCATTCAGCGTACTGCTAATTTGGATTAAAGTAAATCTAAAGACACTGTGAGTACGGAAATGAGCATCACTTTAATTGGATTCTGACTTTCTTGCAGAGCTTTAAACAATATCAAAGTTGTAATTAGAAGACTTTGCAATAATTAGGTCCAGGAAAGCCTCGTTTTCTCCCACAGATTATGCTTTGCTGCCTGAAACATCAACTTGAAAGTAACAAATCTAATTAGAAATAAAACAAGTATTTAGCTCTCAGGTATCATTTCAAAATCCCTAATTGGTATACTCACAAATCCATCCATTGCCCAGGACTCATCCGTAATCCTGCCCAAAGAGCTGTAGGTCAGCGCTCTCGTCTGATACAGCAAGAGCGTTAACCGTGCCTCCTGGCGTTTGTACACACCTACATGGCGTAAAGCAAAAAGGCAAACAAGACGTGAAGTAAGAAAGAAGTAATTAAAACAGCAAATTGAGCCTAAAATGTAAAACAAAAATCACACTGAGGAACATAGAAGTTTCACACGCAGAAAAGAAAAAACAAATTGAAAAGAGGAAGAGAGCAGGCATAAAACTCTTGAGTGGGCAGACAGTCGGTTCTGACTAATTCATCCGTCTTTAAAGCCAATAGTTAATTTCCAGTCTCATGCATGAGATCATTTGGTGATTGACTGATTGACACAAGGCGCCCTGAAAATAAATGGAAGTGACATACAGAGAGGTGCTGGGGGAGGTGAAGGGTAGGAAGCAGGAGACAGATAATTTATAGATGACTCACCAGAGAGCAGAAACTCTGTGCTACTGTCTGTTAAAGTTACATTGACTTTTCCAGTTGTAACATTAAAGCTGGTGACTGTCAAACTCATTGGCTGTTTCTGCCCCTTGTAGTCGTAGGAACCCTTCCAGACGAAATCCGGGGCAAACACATCGTCTGGGACTGAAGGGAAACAATGAAAAACATTGTTAGAAAATAGAGCCAGGAAGGAAACAACCAGATGTGAACAGCATATCGCTTTCAAGCATCCAACAGCTGATCATTTTTCCATTCAAGTTGTATAATATCAAATTATTATTTCGATTATTGTTGGAAATGCTGTCAATTAGAAGTACATGATGGTGGCTTGTACTTATTTACAGAAAACAAAGTCATGGTTAGAAGGATCACTTTCTAATAGATTTTAAGAGTTGGAAGTTACCTTTGTAGTAAAAGTTGCATAAAACCATTAAGACTGCTGATGCATCGAGTGAATTATTTGCAATATTAACAATGATGCTGTAGAATGTAGTTGTGAAGACAACAAACAACTTTTACTATTAATATTTGCTGCAATGATGATACAAGTGGCAAAGTATTTAATTATATAATTACCATTAAATCTATCATTACATAAAGTCAAATGATAGATTATCTTTCCTCTTATAACAACTACTGCTCTTAAATGGACGTTTAACTAAAGATGCATCCTGTAGTTTAACTGTGCTGCTAAAGAAATCATAACAATTGTGTTAAATCCCATTGTGAAATGTAAGTGACATTTATTTATCTCTTAGAAACAATGGTTGAAAATAGGTTAGAAACAAACCATCCTGTTAGTTTTTAGGGTTCACACATAATTAATTAGTGCTTAACATAATAACAAATTCTTATCACAATATTTTTTTTCACCACAGTAACAATGAATAATAAGACAAATGTTTGTTCATGCAAACCATTTTGCCTAACTAAAAACATTGACATATTTTGACATGGCAGGATTTAATTCAGTATTGTTGCTTTCATGTAAGTTAACACAAATGTCATGAGACGACGTTTTACAAGAAAAACAGGTCAGATTTATTTAAAGTGGTAAGGAGACGTATAATGAAAACATCTAGCTACAGTCACACAATGAAAGTAAGTTAGTCACATGCCAAATGGTGAAATCTGTATCTAATGAAGTCCATTGACTTCACACAGTTCCTCCTGTCATATGAACATGATGTGACAGTGCAGAACAGTTTCCTGAAATTACATGCATGATTTTAGCTAAAAGTCATACAAATGACAGTATTAAAATAAAATGATCTGTCAGGATGCTGTAAATGTCACAAATGAGGGTTTTTTTTGTTTTGTTTATGTTGCTTCTGTGTCCCAGAGGCAAATTCTCTCTTTATTTCCATTACAAAAACTATTACCAGTAACATGCATAGAGTACAGTACAATTTAGAGGTAAGCTAATTACCATCTTGCACTGATATTTCCTAATTAAAAAGATCTTGCTTCTTCTGTGACCTTTTCATATTCCCTCCTGATAACAACTCTAGCACTAATTGCACGTAATTATCCTTTTGTAGTAATTTTTCCTCCTTGATGACTTTAAATTTTAAAAGCAACCTGATAAAGGGGTGTAAAGTTAGAAAGTATTGTCATTAAAGAAATTAAACAAAGTCCATTAATCTGCAAACTATTGGACTCATTTATACTGAAAGCTGAAACAGGATAACAGTGAAAGAAAGCTTTTCTCTACAATTTTTTTTTTTGTGCCAAAGTCAGAGCACTTCACCTATCAAGAGCACAAACATGGCTGCACATCTTAAACAAAGCAGAGTACAAACAATAAAATGGTTACCAATGTAAGCAGCTTTAAATTTAGCTTCCTCCAAAACTCAGCATGTCTGGAGCATTTTTACACAAATAGCTCATGTATTTAAATACCCACCCTTCATCTTAGGGCTCGGTGTCCCTGGCACGGGTTTGACTATTTTCTCTTGGGATTTAGATCCAACTGCAAATGAACATAAATATGCATCGTCACTGAGATGTGGCGATGCACTGCAAGGCTTAAAGTTGCAGGAACACAGATATAACCCTGCATGCATTAAGCTTTCCCTTATTTTCTTGCAGCTGCAACTTAAAACATTTCTGGAAAAATACAAACACACACATCCAAACAGTCTTACAACACATCCAGTATAATAACACACTCCCCCACTCTCTGCATCCTACCGTATGCATCAATTCCAAGCCCTCCCCTGAACATTTTTAGTTTTACTTCACCACCCTCTCCATCATCTGCCCCTGCAGACCTCTGCCGACAGCGTACCTCTGCACACAGGCACCTTGCCCGTCCAGCTGCCGTCAGAGCGGCAGACGCGGTGCTCTGAACCCCCGGAGAGGAAATAACCTGGCTGACAGGTGTACACCAGGGTGTAACCGTAGGAGGGCAGGTCTAGACCCATAACGTCAGCGTTGGCTGGGCTCCTTGGCTGCTTGCAGGAGTGAGCTGGAGATTAAGCAGAGGGCAAATGTGTTATTACACACATCTACGGGGAGACACAAATAACAAGCGAGCCAAATTCACACATCGCTCTGTACACAGTGAGGCTTACACACACACACCTGCACACAAACACAAGTGTAAAGATAGACGAATGTAATTAAGTCCTCATGAGGAAGGGGGAGAGAAGTTGAGGTTTAAAAAACAAGGATTGGACTGATGGAGCCTCTGTCAAAGCCAGTGATTTGCAATTTTCATAATAAAAACACCAAAGTTAAATCCCTCTATGAAGTTCAACCAGTTAGTGTTTGCATAATTTACCAATAAACAAACACTCCTCCATCTCACATTGTGTTTCTTTTCCTTTTCCATAGCAAAACGTGCAAAAATTAGCTATGCAAATTTTATTGGTTTAGAAATGCACCACTAAAATAACAAAAGTATTTAAACTTAGAGAGCTTAGAACCAAGTATAAATTATGTTAAAGGTTAGAAGTGAATCATGTCTGCCTTGAGGTGATCACGCTGGCACTGAGAATGGAGGACACCAGGGACCTTCTTCAATGAAAGACATGCTGAAAACAGAACATGCAAAGCACTTAGGATCAGAGGGACCAGCCAATAAAAGTGGTGTAAACAGTAAAAAACATTAAAGTTGTATGAATTAATGCTAATTCATTGATCTTTATTCTGCCTTTCTTGTCTGCAGTTGCTCTCATGAGAAACACGGTTCTTATTCCTTTCTTAGGATGTGGTTCAAGTAGAGAGACCACTGGCAGCAGACAGCATCCTACCTACGCTGTTCGTGTAAAGTATCTGTGTGAATAACACCCGAATGTAAACTTCACAATGGTTAAACGGTTTATTATTTAGAGTTCATATACAGTAAACATGTACAGTGTTTTAGGTTAGCAGAAGCTCACTTTTCACCCTGCCTCTCTTGGACTAACCATTATCTTAAACTTATGGGACGATACAAAATGAAGAAGGCAAATCCTGAACTTGTCGTGTTACAGTGTTACTGGGGATTTCGCAATGTTCCACAAGTCAAGAAGGGGATACAGGACTCATCTAAAGGTGCTCTGGTCACATGGGCTCAAACTCAAATGTTTGTGGTTACATCTAAACCCAAAGACAGAGGTTCAGTTATTTTGCAAAAAAAAAACAAAAAAAAAACTGAAATTACAGCCTGTAGATCTTCCATAGACAGCTTTATGTCTATGGAAGAGACATACAGCTACACTTGCATGAAAATGAAGTTTTACAGAGTGGCATGTATTTGAGTTACTGAATTCAAATACATGCCAGTGTAATTGATAAAGAAGCTGAAACCCACACAACCCTTCTCCTTTACAAATCTAATTGTTTACTACATTCAGTAGCAAACAAAGTAGTAAACATACACAAAGCATCTCCAGTGCATAAAATACACTGAGGTTGTTGTTTGTAACATGACACAATGTCTATTTAAAGAAAATAAGAAAATACTCTTGCAAGAAACTGTAAAAATCTGTACATTAGAGTTGTTATGCTGCAGATAAATGAGGTAGAGAGCAATAAATTACTAGACCAGTCTAATTGGACTAAATTGAAATGCATATTAAATTCATACAATACAATCATATTAAATAAATTGGAACATTACCAAGAAGCTTATTTATTTCAGCAGCTTAATTTACTAAATGAAACACATTATATGGATTAATTACACACACACTGATGTTTTCAAGTCTTTCTTTCTGTAAATTATGAATATTTCTACTTACAGCTGCTAAAACCTACAGTCTTTACCATCATTACATTTTAGGAAAAAAATAACTTTTAGAAAAACATTTTGAAATGTGGGCTTAATGAAAAGATTTTGTTCTCAAAAAGGTGCTTTTAATTTGACAATCGCACCTAATCAGAACGCATCTTCTAACTGATTGAGTAAGTGTAAAGTTTGTGGGCAAATGCCTGAATGCATTTTTTAAAAATAATCATCACCAGGATATGAAAGCATCTCTCAGTTGAATGAGCAGTGAGAACGGTCAGACTTGATAAAACAATGACAGCTCTGAAAGCAGCCCACACAATGACAATGATGCATGTATTTTCATTTTACCAAGGCAATAACCTCAAAACAAACAAAAAAAAAAAGACGGAGACTTTTGGGTAGGTCGTCTTCTGTCCCTACAATAACCCTTCACTTTAATTCCACCGATCATTTCTGCTGTTGCATTGAGATGGCGGTTTAAATTTTCTTCACAGATAGTTTGATGGAACTTGACAGGGTCCTCAGGAGAAATGGGATAAACAGTCCAGATGCAGGTGCCTAAAGCTCGCCAAGAGACCTGCTAAAAGGACCTCGAGCTGCAAATGCAATAACCAAATAGGGTAAGAGAGCACTTTCCTGCCTCACATTTGTATTTTTTTTACATTTCGTGTCAAAGTATTCTTTTATTCAGTACATCATATGCTAACTTTTTTTAATTTTTGAGTTAACAGCTCACATCAAATATGACAAAAATCCTTTATTCTTTCAAAGGGAAAACAGCTTTGGCTGAAGGCGAATCTTGACAAGTTGAATTAGCTGCCTTTTCAAAACACAGCCCTTTTATAGACCATATTAAATAAGTTCATTTTCTCTCAAGTGGATTTTTGTCTAGTTTAATGTTTTCCAACAACAACTCTCTCAACCAAATGAAACCATATGCAAATCGCCCCAACTGGAAGAACACTGCAGGCTTGAACATTCGGGCTTCGGGCCATCAACAATAATGTGAAAATAGTGAAATAATTTTGATGCTTGCAAGTGAAAGTGCATGCTGCCAGCTGTCAAATGGGAGACAGCTGCACAGTACCAAATCGGTCCTTCATGGCATTTTAATGACATTAGTGGAAATAGGATGCGGAAGGAATGCCAGGATGAAACGCAATTTCTAGACTCTATGGAAGAGGATTGTGACTCAAAAAGCGCTCTTGTTGGATATTACTTTAGTGCTAGCAAGCAACATAATGGATGTTTGGCCATTTGTGGAGACGTCGCGTTCATACTTTAGCAACCAGGTGTTTGAAAGTGAAAGTTGGCAAACCAGACATCTAATTCATCATAAAAACTGTTTTCAAAAGGATGAGCGTACTTTAGAGCAACTGTTTAATTTTCATGCAGTAGATAGTACAGTGCCAATAAAAAGTTAGTTCCCACCCCAAACCTCCGTGATGTTTTACACTTTTAAATTGCTTTTACAAATCAATTGTGACAAACAAAATTTGGCTTTTTTGACAAAAATTTTGCCATTATGTTCAATTTCTGAAACTCTGTTAGTTTTTGTGGCAGACACAATAGGACTCACACATTTCAAAATGTTCAGCTTGTATCTTGCCAGGCCACAGAATATTTTACCAAAGATTTTGGGGATCATCAAGCCCCCGTTTTTTGGCTAATGTGAGATGTTTAATGTGTTTCTTCAGCTCAATAGTGATTTTCACCTTGGAACTTTCCCACTTATGTCACTTTCATCCAGTCTTTCTATTGTTGTTGAATCATGAATGCAAACCTAGCCTAAAGCAAGTGAGGCCTACAGAGTTTCATATATATTCTGGGATCTTTTCTGACCCTTTGGAAGACTGGTTGATATGACTTGAAGAGTTATTTTAGTAAGCCAGACGCTCCTGGGAAAGTTCATCAGTCTTCCATGTTTTGTGACTAATGGTTCTTATTGTGGTCCGCTGACACCCAAAGCCTTAGACATAGATTTATAATCCATGTGGCAGTGAGGATGCTTTACTGGTGCTCTTGAATTTCTTTCAATTGAGGCAAAATGTGTTGCTTCATGTTGTCAGATTAATTTGATCTAAGCAATTTCTTTGTCCTTGGTTCATGATACAACAAGAGGAACAATTATGTCTTCATGCAGTCCAGGTTGGTTTGGGTTTCTCCCCACCGCTAATAAATGAAAGATAATTAGTAGTTTTCAATGACTGAAGTAAGTTATTGTCTTCTGATGTCAAAATTTGCTTAATAATCTGAAACATTTTGTGACACAAACAAAGCAAAACCAAAGGAAATATATTACTTTTCATAGAACTGCACTGAATTTCTCAAGCAGTGGCAGTAGAATCTAGAGAAGATCAAATACATTTTTCTCTAATAATTTCAGCAGTAACAATGACAAGACAAGGGCAGAGGAAAAAATCAATACATTGTCAAGCCACTACATGTGATGGAGCAATGCTAGAGAGCAGCTCCAGGGGTGCTTCATTTAAGATGACAGATACACCTAGCAACAATCTGCACCTGCCAAGCACAGAAACCCAAACATAAAGTCTAGAACCTGGAAACATTAAATCTTATTGATCTATTTATACATGTTAAGGTAGGCACTTACTGTTGCTTTTTAAGGGATGCAAGTTAAAAGTGTCCATCAAAATTTTCATTTATTGCAGTTCAATGTACCAATTACCTGATAAAAATAACCAAAATCCTTGGGGGATTCAAGTGTTCTTTTTTCTTTCTTTGTTTTTTTAAATAATCTATTAGCAGAAATGTGAAATGCAATCTACTAAGTCTAAAAAAAACATACTTTTTCAGATGACAAATAGCATAATGAGAGACAATAAACTGGTTTGACTTTTTGATGTCCGTTTTGAGGTACAAGCATTAAGATACGGCTGCTGTAATACAAGCTCCTAAATCAACATAAGTTGGATCTTGATTTGTATTTCCATAATAATGAGAGTGCTATTACCTTGCACAACCTTTGCCCTGGGGGATATAAAGAGAAATGATGTTCAACAACTTCAAAGTGATGGTAAGAGGCTTCCATTTCAAAGGTTCAGATTTTAAATTTAGGTTCAGTAATTTATGTTCCATTTTACTCCTGTGTTATAGCGCGTTCCCTTAAAAGAGAAAAAAGAAAGAAAATTCAGTCCTCGGGCACAGTATGTCTTGCACAGACTCGAGCCACTTCAACCAGTAATAGATCTTCGCAGAAGTGAAAGAAGACTGTCTTCACCTCGTCTCTG